CAATTCTTAATTATTTAAATTTTTCTACAGATGAGCCCCCATTATTGTTTATATATGGGGCAGCCCACTCTCGCTATCTACCTCCTGGTAGGTAACTGATTGGTGGTCCCAGGAAGCTGCTCGTACCCAATTCCCAGACCTAGTCTATCCTGAGGAGGGAAGGCTGCATAGAGATGGTTCCCTGGTATGCATCAGTGCTGTGTTACTCAATAATAACACAACCCACCAGGAAACTTAGCCCCTGCACCAGATTATAATTCACATCAACTCAGCAACTCATGGAATCCATGCCATTATACCAAAGAAGTATGATGCCAGAGGTAGAAGACACTAGTTGGACATGTCTGTTAAGGCCCAGGCTACTTTGCAGTTGACTTCTGATAGATGTTTTTGGTACTCTTCTTTTCCCAAACCCAGATGCTGTCAGCACTGTGACCAGCAACTCTAATCTTGACCTTGTCTCTTGGCTAAGAGGTGAGAACCTCCTACCTAGCCCTAAGTGGCCAGTGGCTGGTTGAGGATATACTAACCCTGCCCACTTGCCTTATAGCAAGACAGTTCTCTGGAGCTGCCAGAGTTTGGGTGTCTGTGTTTTTGGAGGTGTGTCTCTGTCCCTTCCCTCTTCCCATCCTACTTCCCTTGCTGCTCCTTTAGGGATTTCTCTTTAGTAAGTACTGTGTACCTGAATCCTTGACTCTACTTCCCAATGAACCTGACCTAAGACTGTGACATCATCTTTGGGCATTTGCGTATTTTCAAGTGTCCCTGGCTTTCTTGTGTCTCCTGCCTGGTTCATCACAGTAGTCCCAGCCCACTCACTCCAAGCCTCTGCACACTGCTACCAGACCAGGCATCTGTGCCATTTTTCTTATGGCTGTGCCAGACATATGATTGGTCTCAGAGAAAAATCTAGATCATCAAGCAAAGCTTAGAAAGCCCCTCCTGCTTGACCTCTCCCTAATTCTCCTACCACAGACCTGCAACCCACCTCCTGTCACATAAATTACAGCCAGGCCTACGTGGCCCATGCCATTTCATGTGTCTGACTTTGCACATGCCACTCCTTGGCCTGGGACATTCCTCTCTTCTCTCCTACTATCCCCTTTTTCTGTTGGCTAATTTCTAGTGATCTTTCAAAACTCAGTTCTGACATGTTCTCTTCTAGCAATTCTAGTCTGAGCTCCCTAATTCCATTCCTGCCTCACACTAAACTGGAATGTCACCTATTCTTAGCATATGCTAAATTAGAAATAAGACTGGTCTGTTTTAGGGAGCAACTGAGGACTCTAGACTTATGGAAAGAGAGGAACTGAGTGCTGGTGGCTAGGAGGTAGGCTTGCAGAATGTGCCCTTTGGTTGTTTAAATTAATAAATATTTCTGAGTATTTTTGTGTACATATCCCTACCCCACCCCACCCCACCCCCTCAAAAACAAAAACCAAAAAAGAAAAAGAAAAAGAGAGGGAATGGAAGCAAATACTGTTAAATGATGATACACGGAGGAAATTGTAATCATTGCAATGAAACAATAAGGTAAAGCCTATGTTCTCCCATGTAAGCTATCACTCAGTTCACAATAATAAAAAAGAAAAGAATCAATGCATTTGAATAATTGCATTGGCAAAGAATATGGAATATGCCATGAACTTCCAGAAGAACTAACAAATCTGTTTCAGAAGAAGAATGGCCGATTGCTCCTTGGACAGTTTGTCAGGAAAGACCAGTGCCTAGAGAAGGATATTATTCTTGGTAAGGAGAAGCATCAGAGAAAAAGAAGAACCTCAAAAAGATATATGTAAACAGTGGCAATAGCAATGGGCTGAAACATAACATTTGTGAGGAGGGTGCAGGATATGGCAGTGTTTTGCTCTGCTGTACATATAGGTGCTATGAGTCGGAACAAAACAAAACAAAAAGAATGGTCTGTTTTATCATGGTAAAATGCACACCAAACCTGCTGCTGTTGTCGATACCAACTTCTAGTGACGTCATGTATTCTATAGAACTGCTCCATAGGGTTTTCTTGCCTGAGATCATGGCATTCCTTATGTAATCTTTATGGAAGCAGACTGCCGGGACTTTTTTCCATAGTGTTGCTGTGTGTGGTTTGAACCATCAATCCTTAGGCTAGTCGTGGAATGTAAACTGTTTGTGTCACCCAGGGACCTTTTGTCATGGTGCCATGTTTTAATCATTGCTGAATCCTCAGGAGCTAACACTGTGCCTGGCATATAACACACATCCAAGAAAAATGTACTGAATGAATAAACGAATGAATGGTCCACCATAATGATCATCTCCCCTGCTAAAGTAGCCTAGGATTTCTGGTGAAAGCTCTTTCAGATATTTGCTCCCAGTCCTGCTACTAAGTATCCTGGGTGGCACGGTGGAATAAGCATTGGGCTGGTAACTGAAAGGTAGGCAATTCAAACCCACCAGTCACTTGTGGGAGAAAGATGAGGCTATCTGCTCCTGTAAAGATTTACAGTCTCTTCTGACCTATAGCGTCACTATGAGACAGAATCTACTCAATGATATTGGGTTTGTTTTTGTTTTGGATTGAATGTGGTGTAAGATGATTTGGGTAGTTAAAAGATGGTAAAATGCTGTTACTTAAAGGACAGAGTTTTTTGTTTTTTTTTTACTTTTTATTGTGAATTGAGTGAAGGTTTATAGAGTAGATCATCAGTTTTGCATTCAACAACTTTGTCTTTGGTAAATGTTGCCCTTTTGATCTTGAATGATTGACCATTCTGTGGTGAGCATAGGTTACTAGTGCTGGTCCCCCTATATCCATCTACTGTTTGGCTGGAAAGTGGGCCACAAGGGTGAGTTCTGTTCCAAACCTGAAGGGTGGTGGAAGGTCATAGTGTCAGGTTCCTCCAGCCTCTTTCTGACCCGTAATTTTGGTCTTTTTGTAATTTTGATTTTGTTCCACATTTTCTTCTACTCTAGTCAGGACCTTCTAATGTGATCCCTTTCAGAGCAGTTGGTCTTGGTAACCAGGTACCATCTAGGTTTTCTGGTCTCAGAGTTGTGGAGACTGATGTTTACATGTTCCATGAGTCCATTGGACTAGCTGATTCCAAGCATCTTCAGTTTTCCTCACTCTTCTTTCTTCTGCACATGGAAACCAATAGTTGTACCTTAGATGAACTTTTAAGATCCTGGTCACTATTGACCAAAGTAGAATGTAGAACATTGTTTTGTGGACTTTGTTAGGCCAGTTGATCCTGGTGTCCCCTGAGACTATCATCCTGAGCCCCCAGGCCCAGGACCTCAATTGCCTTAAAAGGTTTGATTATATCTAAGAAATTCTTGTTATTTTGCCCTGTGTATGCTCCACCACATTCATAGGTGTGTTTGTAGCAAAGATAAAGACCCATGTACAAACATCCTTTTCAAACCCTTATATATTTGTGGGTATACTTCCACTCTTCCTCTCAGACCCATTCAGCCTATGTATCTGTCCATGCATCTACCCACTGAACACTGTTGTTGCAGGGTTGTGTATATGACACTATTTACCTCTATCCCCTTTACTCGTTGCATACCTCCCTGTGTCTTTACCTGTCTTTATCATTCTCCCAACACCCTCCCTCTTCTTGCATATTGCCTTCCCAGTCACCTAAGCTAACAAAGGACACAGATTCTAAAGAAGCCATAGCCTGCTGTCAGAATGTTTGGAGGAAATATAACATGTTTATCTTTTGAAAGATTTAAAAAAAAAAAAAAAATCTCACCATTATACACAGTAACTCCTTTTAAGAAACTGTTTAGCTAAATTTTTCATTCTGATTACAAATAAAGAGCATTTTGTATATAATAATTCAGGAAAAAGCCTCTAGGGAGGTTAAGATTTTATTTTAAGAACAAAAGACTGATGTCTGCATCATAAAGCATATTATTTTCACCAACTTAAAAAATCATTGCTTTTAAGTCTGCTTACAGTCCTAATGTGGCACTGTAGGATAAGCACTGGATTGAAAGGTTGGTTTGAACCATAAGGTTGGAGGTTCAAACTTACCAGTCTCTCCTCAGAACCACTGTGAGTTGGAACCGACTTGATGGCACATAACAATAATGGCCCAAACAAAAAGTTATTTGGGAGATGGGGAAGTGAAAGAAAAAAGAATTTATGAATTAGATAATTGTTTCCTGCCACTTTGATTTTGGTAAAAATTTCTATAGCATGCACAGAATGTGTGGGCTCAGCCAGGAAGGACTCTCCTTTGTTAGGCTATTGGGACCCTTGCATATGCCACTGAGGAAGGACTGGTGAGGGGCAGTGGGATAGAGTTCTGGCAGGCTGGTTGTTGCTGTTAAGTGCTGTCAAGTCAGTTCGGACTCACAGTTATCCTGTACAGGGTTTCTGAGGAACAACTGGTGGGTTTTAACCACCCATCTCACAGTTAGGAGACCAGTGCTTATCCTACAGTGTCACACCAGGACTCCAGCACAATGATTGGGGGGAAGTAAATAGAGGATGGAAAAGAAAGGAGGCAGGAATATACAAGTTGTTAAAAGTCTGACAATACCTAATGTTGGCAATACTGCAGGGGAAACAGGAATTTTCATGTGTTACAGAAGTGTGTAAGTGGATGCATCCATTCTAGAAAATAGTTTGGCATCGCACGGCAACAATGAACCTTTGCTATGATTTGAAATTTCACTTCAAGGTCTATGCTCTGCAGAATCTCTGTAACATAACGTGTGCCCAGAAGACAAGCATACAGGGCTACACCACAACAGTATTCATCATAACAAAAGCAACAAAGGAGAAACAACTCACAGATGGACAATGGATGAGACACTGTGCACAGCAGATGACTAGAGTTATGTGTAGTCACATGACCAAACACGGAAAGCCTGAGGGGAGGAGGACTGGTTGAGAGCAGAGATGAGGAAGTGGTACAGCCTTTTGAAAAAGTTGGACATCTTTAACCTCCACCTCATAGCATAAGGCTGATCCTTCTAAAGTAAATGATTCTTGCACTTACCTTTCCCCTAGTAGGACATTTGAGAGGCTTATAAATGATGGAAAATCCAATGTATTCATGACAGGGTAGGCATGGATGGGAATAAGCAAGGTGTCATCTCCCTAAAATTAATGGGAAAAAAGTCAAGTTTACTGTATTGCAGAATTAAAAAGTTAAAGCTATATGAGTATTTGTAGATATTCTATTTGCTATCATTAAAAGATATGCCTTATTTTCAGTCATTAAAAACATTTCCTTAAGGGTTGTGGAACAATATACACTT